ACAAGGCATGACATACAAGCATATAGTATTTGATGCCACAAAAAATGCTGGTATAATTACTTAGTATATTTTGCAGTTTTGTAAAATTGCTTTGGTGTATTCAGAAAAATGTCTAAAAATGGAGGGGCTATTTGGGGGTTGTTCTTCACCCTTTTTTTTCTCTACCTTTCTTTTTTTTTCATCCCAGTTCTGCTTCATTGTTTTTGGTGGCAGATATAAGACCTGTCTATTCATCTGAAGTATAAGTTCCTTGATAGTACTCTTTATTCAGAGAATTTTTTTTTTGCATTGCATACTAATAATTATAATAATATCAAGCTAGAGATCTTATAGTAACAGGTTAGGGATATGTTACTTCTGTTGATTCCTATTAATTACTTTGTATTTACTGCTTTTGCTTTGAAGTAAAGCACTGTGAGTTCAAGTCTTCTCTTTAGTTATGTTTAAACTGTTGTGAGTCAAATTATTCTTTTAAAGCATGGAACTAGTGGAGATAAATACAATTCTAGAAAAGTAGCATAGTTTTCTTTATACTGGTCCAGAATATCCCATGTAACTAGGGTTGTTGGGAAATAATATTGAAAGGTGAGATTTAGTTTATACATTCTGTATACTTGCTTTCTTTTCTGGTATGAATAACAGTGTATGAATTAATGTTTCTGGGTTATCATGCTGCAGGTGTATTTATCAGAAATTTGAAAGAGACCACGTATTGTTCTGTTGAATAGCTGCCACTGACTGCTGCTTCTTAATTGAACCCAAGACTAGTGAACCCATTGAGGCTTGTGAATTAGTCTCTTAAAAAACATTCAAAAAAGAATAAGAAAAAAAGCAAACAAAAAAAATCTAGGAAAAAATAAAAACCCTAATACAAAACAAACCCAAGCCAAACAATAACAAAACAGAAAAAAATTCAAAAAACCTGACTGAACAACCAAATAAAAACTCATAAAACTGTGTGTAACTGTGAGACTGAATAAGGTGATGATCTGATTGAAGTATTTCTTCTTCTCTATTTATATTAACTTACCTTTATCTGAATTTACTTTTTTAAAAGTCTCTGTTTCTTTTCTCTTTTCTCCTTTATTTTTTTGCATGCAGCTCTATTGGTTTTCTCTTTTTTTCAAAGGACCATCAAGAAACCTTGAATCTTGAAGGCTATAGAAAGGAAGGAATTAATTTCACCCTAGTGTAGAATCTTCTGTAAACTATCTAAGCACATGTTATGTGATAGCAGATGGCAGTTCTGCACATTTCACTTGGTCACAGTACGGATTTCAAAATTAATGGAGAATGGAATAGGTTCTTTAATTGCTTCATCTTGGCAGAGCCACACATATGTATGATATGTTCTGAAAGCAGTTGGCTACCTCATTTGAAGTGTTTCATGACAAGACAGTACACATATGTCAGATTTCCTAGCTTAAAATCACCTATGGATTGTACAGTTTCTGGCTTCTGTTTATGTGGAATTTATTACATATTGCAATAATACAAGGGATTTGGATCTCCTGTTCCTGACCCCCTTCATTATTCAGGGCTTATCAGAACTACGCTCTAGAAAACCCAAGGACAGAGAATTCATGTTATTCCAGATTTTGTAAAGTTTATCACCTTACAATCAGCTAAGCAAGTTTATTGTTCCAGGAATTTTTGTGAAAAGTTGTATGTTTACTTTAGGAATCATCTAGTTTGGAGTATTTAGACTGTTTAGTTACAGTTCTGACAGGAGCAACATAACTAGGGGAGTGGGGAGGGAGAAGTAGAGCAAGGGAGCCTTAACATTTCAGGTTTTTTGTGCTAAAAAATCTTTACATGTTTCTACATGTGTATTCTAATTTCATAGGATCAGCTATACAGGAAGTTGATGATATGTGCTTGGTTTCACTAAAAATAATTATTCTGGATTATATTTGGTTTGGTCTTTAATTGTTTACAAAACATTCATGTCATCTCTTGTGTTGGGAAGAATATCTCTGTGATAAAGCTTGGTACACAAACAGCTTTAAAATGCATTTTTACAATATATTCTATTTTTTACAGTGTTATTTACAGTAAAATATTCTAATTAATTAAAGCAGGAATTGGAATGAGTAGCAGTCCTTGCCATTAAGGCAGGTGTATTTTATTCTCACTCATTTGTTGATATTCTAGCTTGTTTTGAAGGGCCATAGCTTGTGTAACAGTAATTTATTAATTGCAGAGGTACGGAAATCCCTCCTGTGTGGTGAATATGAATAATGATTTGATCTGGGTGGAATTAAAACTGCTGCTTTGCAAATACCAACAGTGATTAGGAGACTAATTGCTAATGATTCTATTTTGCAAGCATTTTGTATAGTATGACTGGATTTTTTATTAATCAGGCAGTACAATCTTGCATAGTTTCCTAAAGCCACTTTTATGTTTATAGCAAGTGTCTCTAATGGTCTGTTCTGAGCCAAATAGTGATTGGTTGTTGAGTTTGTGATAGCTGTGCAGTGGCACTGCCAAATGAATTACTCTTTGCAGGAATTGGTGTTCGGACACAGTAAACTACTTGTGCTGCAGCAGGGTTTAAGCAGATGTTAAAGAAGAGTAAGAAGTCTGAGTGCTGCTGCAGAGAGTTGTGAATTGTCCCTGTTATGGGGTGGGATGTAAGTGAAATACAGGAAATAGATAAGCTCTGTTCCTGAGCAGAAAAGGAAAGAAAGTAGAAATTGAAAGATTAGGGACTACAATAACTCTGTACTGCTGCTGTGAGAAGGATTAGCCTTGAGGTGCTTTCCCCATAGTCTGGGCTTGAGTGCTAGTCATCATGGGTTGACAGAGTTTACTTGTAACTTTCTAAAGGATTTTTCTTGTGTGAAGTTCAAGATAAGTTCCCTGCAGGAGAGCTAAGAATCCTGGGTTGACTGTACTGGAGATTGAAATGGTGGATTAGAACATTCTGGAGTTCTGAAACTATTTACAAAAGGATGGACTAGACCTCTGCTGATATATTTTGAGATGTTTGGACTACATCTGCTTCATCTCTGTATAGATATGGAATAGGAGGAAAAAAGCTGCACCTAATTTAAATAAAAACCTGGTTAGTCTTCAACAGATAATGCAGTTCTGGTTACTGACTGGTAGTTGAGTAGATGTTATCTGTTTGGAAAAATCTTGCTCAAGTGAATGACTGTAGGTAGCATGCTTCTTGCATTGAAGAAGGTAGTATTCTAGTGAACAGCCATTCTTTGCAGTCTCTTTCAATTAGAAAAAGTTATTCTGAAATTTTGATGGTATCTTGGACATTTCTGGCAATTTCAGCCTCAGTGAGAATGCTGAGAATATAGTGGGGCGTTGTTGTTTGTTTGCTTTTGATTTTTGTTATTTTGTTTTGTGCTTTTGGTTTTTTTCTTCTTGTAATAACTGAACTAATTCTGCTTTTTACTGTTTTAATCTTTTTCCTTGCAAGTGTTGGTAGTGTAGTTCAGAATTCAAGACTATGAAATCCATGTAGTTAGATTTTCATTTGGCTGCTGTTTTCCTAGAGTTACTATAGAGTGGACTTTCTTCCCCTTACTGTAATACAGAGTAGGTTTGACATTGTTGCATGTGTGTAGATGTGTGTTTCATCGTGTGAGGGTTATAGATAAATTTGACCTCAACACATGCTGCTGAGAGACAGGGTGGAGATGTATTGGGTTTGCATGGCAAGGTCTTGGTAGCAGGGGGGCTACAAGGGAAGGCTTCTGTGAGAAGCTGCTGGAAGCTTCCCCCATGTCTGACAGAGCCAACTGATGCTGGCCAAGGCCAAGCCCATCAGCCATGGTGGTAGCACCTCTGGGGTAATGTATTGGAAAAGTATAAAAAGTGGCTGCATAAGAACTGCAGCCAGAGAGGAGTGAGACTGTGTGAGAGAAACCATTCTGCAGACATCAAGGTCAGTGAGGAAGAAGTGAAAGAAGGTGCTCCTGGTGCCAGAGTCTCCTGCAGCCTGTGGTGAGACCATGGTGAGACAGATTGTTCCCCTGCAGCCCATGGAGACCCATAGGGGAGCAGAGATCCACCTGCAGCCTGTGAAGGACCCCATGCTGCAGCAGGTGGATGCACCTGACTGAGGCTGTGATGGCATGGAAAGCCCATGCTGGAGGAGGCTCCAGTGGGACCTGTGAGCTCATGGGCAGAGGAGTCCACAGCACAGCAGGTTTGGTGGCAAGACTTCTGCCCTTAGTGGGCTCCCTCCCTGGTGCAGTCTTTCCTGAAGGACTGTGACCTGTGGAAGGGAGCCATTCTGGAGAAATTTGCAAAGAACTGCAGACTGTGGAAAGAACTTAGCGAACATCTTAGTGAAGTTTGTGAAGGATTGTGTTCTGTGGAAAGGACTCCATGCTGGAGCAGGGGAAGAGAATGAGGAAGAAGGAGAAGCAGAGAGGTGTGATAAACTGACCTCAACCTCCATTCCCTGTCTCCTGTGCCACTGGAGAGGGGAGGAAGGAATAACCATTGGGAGTGAAGTTGACCCCAGGAGGAAGGGAGGGTTGGGGGGGAATGTGTTTTAAGATTTGCTTTTATTTCTCATTACCCTAATCTTATTGGCAGTTAAATTAAGCTAATTTCCCCTGGTTGAGTCTCTTTTGCCTGTGACAGTAATAGGTGAGCGATCTCTCCTTGTGCTCCTCCCTCATGGGCCTTATGTTTTCTCTCCCCTGTCCAGCTGAAGAGGGAGGTGATAGAGTGGCTTTAGTGGGCATCTGGCATCCAGCCAGGGCAAAACCACTGCAGTAGGCCACTGTAAATGGTAATGCCGGTGAGATAATCAAAACAAATGACTGCAGTGGCCTTTAGGGTGGATGACTTGCTTTCCAAGTTTATGGTAAAATTTTAAACTATGTATACATAGTGTATTTTTCTTCAAATAAAGCATACCTGTGGAATGAAAATGGAAGAATTCTTTTTAAATTGTTAGTTTGAATTTTAAATTACTAAGTTGCAAATAAATAATTATTAAAATAGTCTTTTTCTTTTCCCTCCAGCTGTAGCAGAAGTGCAGCTTCGTGATGATCAATATACCCTTGACCACATGCGTGCTTTTGGCATGTATAATTATCTTCACCTTGATTCCTGGTACCAGGATAATGTCTACTATGTTGATCAGTTTGGAAGGGTTATGAATCTGTCAGTGACTCTGGTAAGAATAATTTTTTTTTTTTAAACAACTGAATTGGAAAAGATGGGAGCAGGTGAGATAGAAAATATTGCAAGTAGGATCCAAATGCAAAAACTGGGGGAAGCTGTTGCCAGGAAGACAGGTCAGTCAACAAAAATGCCTTTTACCAGAAAGAATAAAAGGATTTTGAGTGAGGTTTCTGACTTGTGTTAGTAATATTGCATTAGTGTTGCAATATTGTGTAACATCCCACCCTTAAGGGAGCAGGAACACTCAGGAAGATGCTTGTAGACAAAAGGAATAACAAAGCTAGGGGTTCACAAAAGCTTACAGAATTTTTTTACTGAGTTACACATTTGGCATGGAAATTGAAATGTTGGTCTCTGGCCTCCTAGTACTGATGCCTAGAGAGGCTGACCTGGAACAGAGGCTAGACAGAGTGTGAGGAATTGAGTAGGTATTTATCAAAAGGCCTTCCAAGGATATACCTTGGGCAGTACAAGAGCCTGGATGGGGTTCTGCCTGAGGTGGGGACAAGATGGGCGACCAGTTATGAAGTTTCACATTTTTATGAGTTTTTGTCCATTTACATATTTGAGTTAGTTGTCCAGTTACAGCCTCAGGTTATGAAGTCCCCTTCTCCTGATTTTCTTCTCTTTAACTTGCTGTTGTTTATTCTTTTGGGGCCTGAGTCTGTAATGGTTGTCCTTGGTTCTTACGCTGGAAAAGGATTGTTTTGTCTAACTGTGAAGAGAACTTACTAACACCTAATATGAAATACAGAGTTACACACTAAGGCAGCACAGAATCTAAAAAATATGAAACCTAAATTTAAGCCATCGGTACAAACACACAGCAGTGGGCTGATGGGATGTCTGGGGTCCTGGAGGTGCTACCTGGGCTTGGTGGGGGTACCTGTTTATGGGTCAGTTTCTCCACTTGGAAAATAAGTGACTCACTTTCTATACAAATTAGTTACCATGTGCAGTTCATTCTTCCAGACCCTTCTGGAAATGGGTTGGAGGGCTTAGGAGGGTCTTGGTGGTCTTGGTCTCCCCTCTGCAGTCCCATGTCCACATCCCCTTCTCCACATTATTCCTATATGTGTGCGGTACTGTGCTATGCTTATCTCTAGGAGCCAGAACAAGGACATTTGTCCCAGAGAAGTGCTGTCCTACCTCTGTGGCCCCTCCTCCAGCCACATCCTGTTCTTTCTCACAGTGTGTTATTACCAACAAACCTTGGTTGAGTCCACAGTCTATGCCTATCACTGCTGGAGACATACACATTAGCTCTTTTCTGTCAGGCTTCTGCATAGTGTTACATCTGTTTCCATTCTGGGCAAGATGGACATGATGACAAGCTGATGAAAAGGGAAGATTTCTAGTTGTTTTTCTCTTTCTCCCTGACTTTGCTTGATGCTTGTTTGCTAACTTGAAAACCCGGTCATTATGTATATGTTAGAATTAGAAATGCTTAATCTAGACATCGTGTGTTGGAAGCAAAAAGATGCTGGTGGCTGTGAGGGAGCTTGAAGTAGTGTAAGCAAGGTAGGCCAAGTCTGAAATTTCTGCTTTTATGCTGGTGGTCCTAAGTAATCAAACTTTGTATTTCTTTTGAGCCATTTTAATGCACGGATGCTTTAGCTTCCTTTATAAAACTATACTTCGTTTCAGAGAGGGAAGGACATGGTTCTATGGGCACCATGTTTCTGGCACGTACGATTGTAGTGCTTGGGCATTAAGGAAGAAAAGACTGTGTGTAAAGGAAAATACCCATTGCCATTCTACCAGAGTTTGACTTGTAACCCTGTCAGACAAAAGAAAACACAGGACTATGTGTGAGCTTTTGAGAGCATGTGGATTAGTCTGTGCAAGGTTCTGGGGGACAGAAATTACTAGGTCAGGACTAAACTAAGAAAAATTCTGAAACTGTAGTTTTAGATTTTCAGGAAATACAGGTTTCCAGAGGATGATAGGGTGAGGACTGAAGCTGCAAAATAGTTCCTTTGCTCTTCATAGTGTACAGCAGTTGGAGACTTTGGCAGACTCTTACTGTGACAAAATAATCTTCTAGGATTTCTTCCAAAACTTTTGAGATCATCTGGATTCCTAGTAGAAACATCTAAAATAAAGCCTTCTCTTAACAGTGGCTTGTCACAATCTCATTTTATGTTTTATCCTTGAGGTTGGTTAACCCCGGCTTGCTGCTGGACACCCACCCAAACACTCTCTTACTCCCTCTATTCAACAAGATGGCAAGAAAAAATGAGAGAAGGCTATGGATGAGCATAAACCAGGGAGATCACTTACCAGGTGCCATGATGGGCAAAACAGATTTGACTTTGGGGAAAATTATTTAATTTATTGCCAATTAGAATTAGTGTAGGATGATGAGAAATGTCACACAAAGCTTGTACCAAGAACTTGCTCCATGTGTTCTTTTCCATGCGCAACAGTGTGGCTATCTGTCCTGTGTAGGTTTCAGGAGGACAGCCTGCTTTTCCATGGTCTACTCCAAGTGCTGCAGGCAAACCTCTGTTCCACACCGCTGTCGTAGCTGACAAGCTCAGCTCTCTGCAATGGAGAGAGTCCAGTGGAGCCAGCTGGAAGTGGCTGTATGTGCACAGGGCGCCCTGGCCCCTCCTCACTAATGCCACCCCTGCAGGTTCCCTCTGCCAGTACAGCACGGACACCCAGTATATTCCTTTATTAGGAGGGCACTATGTGCATACGTTTATTTCTAAGCAGATAAAGGCTTTTACAACAGGCTATAAATTTACATAAGAAATATTCTTCCCTAGGACCTATTTCAAGATGATGGCACTTGATTAATCATTTGGTCACAAGTTTGGGTTCCGTGTGAAGGGGGAAATAAAACTGATTAAACTGCGAAATAAATAGGCACCATCTTGTGTCCTAATACATGGTACCATTCTGTTTTGCAAAGGAAACATGTTTGCATATGAATAAAAAGGAATGTGTGTTCAGAAACATCAACAAGGTGTCTCATTACAAATGTGCCCAGCCATATATTAGTCAAATGTATATTAAAAATAAGATTGATTTTGGCCAAGTATAGCTTACAATTAAAATTAATGTCAGTCCTCTTTAAAACAGAAGATGGAACAGGGTAATGTGTTCGTCCTAAAATCAGCGTGAAAGAACACATAGACTTTCTAACACATCATTATTTCTAGTTTTATTTCTTATTTTTGTTGCAGCTTTAATTCTAATACAAGAGTGTGTTGGTTATCCATATGTCATGAATTATTCCTGCAACTGAGGTGTTTAAAAAGATGTCATCTGTGAAGGAAAAGAAGTGCACGTAACATCTTGCTCAGAATCACACATAATTGAAAAAAGAAAAGTGATCAACACAAGCAGTTCTTCTGTGTTGATGGATGAATATTCAGGTGGTTTTTTTATACCAGACTGAGGAAATTGTTACTCTAACTTGGCTGGAAATACTGTAAAATAGCTTTAACCTTCTCCTATTACAGCTGTTGAGCTTTTTTTATTTAGTATGCCAGCAGCAATCAATACTTTCCTTTAAACACCCAATGGGTAGGGCAGTGAGATTTTTTTAATTGGTCCGTTTTCTGCATCTGACTCAACTTTCTTGATTGCTCGGTGTTTTTAGCATTCAAGTATAACTGCAAAAAATTCAGAATTTTCTCCTTTAGCAGTTGGACTTGGTTTCTTGACCTTAAGCTCTTCTTGCAAAGACAGCTTGGTTTCTTTTTATGCTCAAATAATCAAATTGAAAAATTGTGGCAGTAAGAACTCTTCTCACACTTAATTAAAATCCTTAATAGTACATATATTTTCATCTTTTTCATTTCCAATCAAAATTAGGTATGGAATACTGTTTCTGTAACTTTCAGTTAACTTGAATTCAGAACAGCTGTTAGTGGCATCGGACACAATGTGGGAATTCTATTTGAAACAAGTCAGAATAAGAAAGCAGACAGAGAACAACAAAAGCTTTTAGGATTTTAAATACTTGTCTGTTATTCAGAATGCTGGGTAAGGACATTTTTTAAAAAAATTAAATTATTTTATTTAATTTAATATATAAAAATTAAAAAGTTAAAAAGATGTGTCAAATGTCTAGGTGTTTTGATTTTTCATAAAAACATAGTCTTGTATTTGTTATTTCTACTTTGTGGGAATTGCCATATGACATAACTTTTTTCCTTTCTTTTTTATTCCTTTATTCCTTTCTCATTCCCCATTATTTCCTTGAAAAAATTAATTTTTAAGTGTTTTATAAAATATCTCATATTTGTACAGTATTGTCATTTAACCCCATCTGACAACTACGTACAATGCAGCTGCTTGCTCACTGCTACTCCTTCATCCCCAGTAGGATGAGGAGAATCAGAAAAAGGTAAAACCCACAGGTTGAGATAAGAACAGTTTTAACAATTTATATAAAGCAAAATTTAATAATAATAAGAACAACAGAAATAACAGTAATAGTGAAAAGAGAGAGAAATAAAACAAGAAAAAAAAAATGATGGACAATACAGCTGCTCACCAGCACTGAGCAATGCCCGAGCAGTGCCGAGTTGTTTTAGCCATTTCTTGCTAGTGTAATAGATGAGTACAGCCTCTCACCATCCCCTCATGCTTCTAAAACAGGGAGTTACTATTACCCCAGTTAACCACCTGGTGAACAAAGAAACAGTCCAAAAGCTAATCTGACACAAGGGGAGTGAGAGTAGGTTTTGTTTCATCTTCAAGGAAGTCTATCCTTTCCATTGCCAGAATGAGATTGGAGACTGTTCTAATAAATGCCTAAAGTTAAATTTAATTAGTTAAATTAAAGTTAAATAAATGCCTAAACTTAAATTATTCACAACAGCAACATTGTGAATAAGATAATTTCCTTTCTTGCCCTTTGAAAGAAATGATTTGTAGTCAAGATTATTTTTCATTTTTTCAGGAGATTGAGATCTGAAATTCCTGCTCAATGCTGATAAATCTGATGTGAGCTTTAGAAGATTAAGTAGTTGA